GCAAGCAATGAACCACTAGGGAAGCAGTATTGGCAAAGGGAGTAAAGATCACATCCCTGGTCGGCTTGGGTGAATTTCCCCTCCTGCCCAGAGAGGCCAGCGTGAGCCACTAGAATCCCATGGAAGCCTTCAAAATCGGTCGGAAGTGATGCCCACGCCTCGCGCTGGCCCCTCTGCGAGTGGGTGAGTTGTACCCCCTCCTCTGTATTCCCCATAAGGGACAGAGAAGCCCTCGCGTGGCGGCAGAAACGGGAATGCTCAGACCTCATTGCCTTGAGCCCGGTGTGGATCGGAACTTTCCCAAAGTATTAGGTGGGTCCGGTTCTGCCCTGTCTCTGTTTAATAAATCTCGCTTTGCTAGCAGAAAGGAAATTGTGTGTGACTGTCCTGGGGAGAAACAATCTTCCCTGCAAAGCCGGGCCGGTTCTTCTGTATTCCCTCTACACGCTATAGGAAGTAGGCCAGATTCCCAGCTGGTGCAGAAATCAATATGGCTCCGTTGGAGTCAATGGGCCAGATCTTCTGCTGCTGTAACTCAGAATAGCGTCTGTGAAGTCAATGGAGCTACCCTGATTTACGCTACCTACGCCACTGGGCCTCATTTACCCGGAGGCCCCTTTACGCCGTTCTGGCTGGGTAAAAGTGCTGACTTGGCTTTATTGTCCCATTCGAATATTGCTCTCCGCTCCTTTCACTTCAGTCTCTCCAGCAGAGAAAACAAATCGGAGAGCAAGCCCACAACGACTGAGTGGGATCAAAGGTAGGGAAAGTGATCTGCCAGCCCCTTGTCTACAGGCCTGTTCTCACTTACCCTAACACCTGCTCTACTCACAGATTTTGTCCCAGTATAACGATATCAGTTGGGGGAGGGGGGGGAGATGAATAGTTTACTGATATAGTTATTCCAGTATAACCCCTAGTGTGTATGCAGTTAAACCGGTATAAAGGTGCCTTGTAGTGGGTTGTGTATTCCCCTTCCCATATGGGAATAGCTATACCAATATAAACCCCTTAAGGCCAGCGTAATTGCATCCACACTTGGGAGGGATTTCTCTCTTTAACTCTATTGGTATAAAGTGGAACAGCTTTTGTGTGCCTTAAACCTCTTTCACACAACTGTGGCAGCAGAAAGGAGGTCGTAGTGGGTATAAATTTGTGCCCACTTTAGGGTCCCTTTACCCAGCCAGAATTATGTAAAATTGTAAATGAGAATCTAGACCAGATTCTCCTTAGGAAGGACAAACCAGAAAGCACACTTTCTGGCCATGCTTGGGGCAGTTGCTCGTTGTTTCAGCTCAGCCCAAGACCTCTTTCCCCACCCCCAGCCTGTTTCGGAATAGCTTGCGGTTACTGGCATGATGTTAAAAAGTCTCAGGATTGTGGCCGCTCTGTGGTTGGTGACCACGCACGCCTATCTCAGATCTCCTCTGGGTGATGTTAACATCAGGTCCTCTTTCCCTCCAGCTCCCCACCCTCCTCGCTCCCTGTAAATCAGATCGATCGGGATAGATGTAGTGTTCTCTGGGCTATGTGCAAAAACCTTTGTAAAATAGAATAAACCCTTTAAATTATGCACTAAAGAAACAAAGCAAAACCCCAACATATATATATTGTGGTTAGTCGAATTGCCTACAAGTTCAGCCCACCCATATTGTCACAGGCAGCTTTCATTTTCCCGCCCGTGATGGTGCAGCAAATGTACAAAAAATTGTGCACTTCCCTTTCTTAGTTTTATTTATTGTTTAGAAAGGCAATTTTAAAAAGCTATACTCTGTATCTATAAGTATACATATATATATATATATTTTTAACCTCTTCCTTCCCACGCCCCACATCCCCCCCCCCCCAACTGCTCCCTCCCCTTTTTTGTGTGTGAATTAAGGGATTCTGTTCTCTTGAGTGGCAGCAGATCAGTTTAAAACAAAAAAAAATCCATGCTCTTCGTGTAGGAGAGATATGGGGGGAAGGGTAATTTTTCTGGGGTGTTGCCCCTCTTTGATACATCTGGATCGTTGGGATACTATCGATCTATTGAAAGCAAGAAAGTAGTAGAGAAGTGGATACATGCGAGTAACTTGTAAATTTCCATCCAGGATCTTTGGCTAGGTCCATCTTTCTCTAGGCATTTGCATCCCTGGGGTC